TCATAAAATTATATGTCATTTGAGAGAAGAATTATTTCCTTTACATATACATATTTGTAAGAATCGAGGCTCACTATTTAATCATTTATCATAAATAAACTATTTAAATCCCTTAAATGCTTTCCTAAAAGAATAATTTCAATATATTATAAATCTTATAATTTACTGAGGTCATTCAATTTAACCAAAAATTTAATTATTTCATTTCATATTAAGATGAACAGAACAAAGAAGTCAATGTTAAGCCACGTAATCATTTTCAATAACAATAACATAATCACATAACAAAAGACAGATCAAAATACAAATTGCGATCCCAGCTGCGTAAGCGATTTGTGATACTTTTGTTTTCAATTCCAAAGTACGTTTATGGGAAAGTTTGCGATTACATCGTATGATGTTATTATTACATACATATATGGATACGTGTAAAATAATAGATTTATTTTTATGATTCTTATTTATACATAATTTTAGATAGTTACTTTAATTTTACATCCATCAAAAAAATGCGTTATTTTTTTTTTAATTACAATTTCTGGGAGTATGATATTTACTATATCGTTTACAGAAAATAATTGAATAATCACTGTAACACATATCAACTTTACACAACAAAACATTAAAAATTTAAACATTCAAAAGAACAATTTTTGTTTTTAAGTAGGTTATTACATAAATATAAGTTTATATAGCAAAATATATGTTTGTATAGTATTTTTGGTATATAATAACATAACATTTGGTTTTATTTTCTATAAAAGAAAAAAATATTACATTATGAAACTTATATAAGTAATAGCGGATCGATACTGTTTCGACTTGATTTTAAAAACAATATATTAACCACATTTAATTGAAAATTGTTCAACTTTTACATAAACAAGAAAACATAATATAAAATATAAAATTCAAGGTTAAATTATTATTTTAAGGAAAAAAATCTTGTAAATTCATATAAAATATACGCGAAATATATGCGCGAAAATGTTTTTTTTTTTTCATATTTAATTATTGATGTTTTTGTGTACATGCGGTTGTGTGTCTATAATTACAACATGTTTAATTTGTGAGTATTAAATAATTGTTAGTTGGCTGAAATGTGCGCCATGCACTGTACTTTATTGTATAAATATAATATTTATACTCTACTCTGATTACGTTCGTATCTCTAATTTATTTCAACATCTCCTTCCTATTTTTTTTTTATTATGTTGAATTTTGAACTTTGATTAATTGATTCTATATAATACGAAACAATCTTTTATAACTATTCATTATTTTTATAACGTAATTATTATTATTACGTGTATAATATGTACCTATTGCAATAATAATTTATATTATGATTTTATTTTATTTTAAGCCCTATACTCTAAATTATTGCGATTATGGATAAAGTATATTATTTGCTATATGATTATAACACGTGTATTATATTAGGTATTTATTTAATTATACATGCAGTTATGTGGATCGATCCTATAGGTACTACATGTGCAACTAGTAGGTAGCATTTTGGGTAGCATCCTAGTAAAGAAATGCAAATAACTACCTATCTCACTTTATAGATTTGGTCGGGGATCCCCTTAATACCTTGTATGTAACACATTTTATTTTTTGTCATGTCCTTTTATGATTTAAAATTTTCTCATTTCATTGTACTTAATTTCATACCAGTACGACTACTCCTATTTACTTTGTTTAAATTATTAGGCCTTAAGTTATACATATATGTATTTATATTTTCTTTTATAATTCTCGTATGTACATACTTTCTTTCCTTTCATAATAATTTATTCCTTTTGACCTTTTAGCTAGCTTAATTTGTTTTCGTAATTCTATTCACTTATATATTTATTTATTTATTTATTAGATATCGGGAATCGGAGTATTAATTCACTTCATTTATATTTTATTTCGTGATATTTATCACGCGGGTACTTTATAAATATGGGCCCCCCATTTACTTGGGTATTATATTACATTTTCATAACATTCATTTCATTTTATTGGTACATTAACTTTTTTTTATCATACTATCTCAAGGTAGAACTGTACCTTGGGTTGTGCGCACAACCTTGAGGTCAACTTTTAAGTCATTTTAAAAGGACTCCAACAATTGTCACGGAGGAAAACTAAGTTCACACTATGATCCAATGAAGGATGTGACCCCTATGTACCATTATTAAGGGTAACAAATTTAAGACTTCTCTGGTCCCCAACAGTACTAATATGAGTAAACTCGTTCACATCTCATTTGTACTGAAGGTATTGTTCCCTAGTACCCGTTACTTCCGATTTTATCATCCAATCATGGAAACATACCCTGCTCGAGGACTATATGCTTTACCAGTGATGGACGTTCCCGTATCTCTCCATGATTTATTTATCAAGGTCATTATAATATGTTTTATTTCTATTCTCTTAATAAACCATTTTGCTTCTTTATTTATACATGACCCGTGTTTTTTTTTTTTTTTTACATCTTAATATCTGTTTGGGTGGTATCGGGTATTTTTATTCACTTGCATGCTCCACTTCCATATACTAATTTGCATTATTCTCGCTCATAATGAGTTCCATACCAAGAGTTTAAGCATTCATCAATATTTGGGTGATCAGTCCAATATTGAGGAAACTTAGCAACTCGATCATTCGTATTCACACTTTCGAACATTCTTTTCTTCCATTCCTCATATCTTTTAATTACATACATTCTAATTTTGTACAAATTGGATAACATTTTTGTCAGTCTATTTTTTTTTTGCCGTTTTTAACTGTTAGGGAACATTATTATTAAACCTCTTAATTATTTTTATTTTATTTTACAGTATTTCATTATTTTCATATTTATGTTACACGTTATTATTATTTATATTTATTATTATCCACGTGTTTACAGGTCATTTCTTATTTATTTTTTGATATTATTATTTTCGTCTTTATTAGAATGTTGTTATGATTTATTTTTATGCACCTGTTCATATATAGCATGTTGCTCTCTATTGTTTTAAGATAAGCTCATTTCATAACATGTCATATTTATAGATATATCATTCATAAGAAAAGTTTAGCATACTTATTATATTCACTGTGTAAAGATTGTTACGTTTGAATTTTGAATTGAAATTGAATTTAACTTATCTAGATTAGTTTGTGGTCGTTAAAAGAAAAAGTGTTATTTTACTATAAAATATGAAAAAATTAATTTATGATGAACTATAGTAAATTTAAGGACATAAAAATGTAATAAATCACATTATTTCATTAATTTTTGCACGACACAGTTATAAAATAATATAAGACAATAACTGAAAAAAGTGAATATAAAATCGTCTTGTACCTTAATAAAACATGCCACAGAAGTGCATACATAACTTAATTTATAATTATTGCTTTTTAATTATTTTTTCAGATACAGTAATAAGATATTAAAAAATCAATTGAATCGTAAATTATCTGATAATTACTTTCAATTTAAACATAGGTGTATTAAATATAGAAAATTTAATACTTAAATTCATAAAATATAATAGCAAAAAGAACATAAAACAATCACAAATTGATAAATAAAGTTTTTGATGGAGATAAAATCACAAAGGTGGGAAGTTACCTCTTAATATCTTCTTTGTACTTTCTGACTCAAATTTCACATTCTTCTGGGCTAAGCTTCCTAGGGTACAACTGCTGTTCCTTTCTTCATTATACTTCTCATAATTATCAATATTAAGTATTTTATTCTTCATATTACCTTTGAAATTTTCATAAAGTTTATCTTTTTAAGTTGATCTTCATTAGTTTATTAAATACTTTCTGTAATTTTCTTTAAAAAAATAGTAATATCAGTCCTTTTCTTATATTCTTATTATTTTTCGTCACGTCCGGTATTGCCGTTAATATTTTTTTCATAATTTAATTTAGATTTCTTATAATATTTTTTTTTCTTTTAAGTAATAGGCCGCGGCGGTGCGCGTGCATTGTCGCAGCGCACCGCCTGGCAGGGTCGCCATGTAATGTCGGAACTCGGAAGGTGTTGAATGAAGGAGACGTGTTGCTTGTACAAGAACTTTAATTATACTGTCCTCTATTCTATACTTAATACTAATTTTATAAATGTATATTGTCGGGAGTCTACAGGGCACTACAAGTGTCATATCCCTCTACAAGATGCAGGAGTGTACGAGCTGGATTGTGAATGTGGTCTCTCGTACATAGGACAAACAAAAAGATCTATTAAAACCCGCGTTAAAGAACATATAGCTGACGTGAAGCACTGACGTATCGGGAAGTCTGCAGTTTGTGAACATGTTCAAGATCGTCCCCGCCATTACATTAGATTTGATAGACCACAAATCCTCGCAAAAGAACACCGATTCCTCCCAAGGATGATTCGCGAGGCTATTGAAATTAAAAAACATCCTAATTTCAATAGAGAAGATGGATGGGTGCTGCCATTCATCTTCTGCATGATTTCATTCGATAAAACGTTGGAATCTTAATTTTTAGGCGATAGTAAAACATACCTTGCTTCGCTTAAGGTATGCAAAATACAAATGCGCTGTCACCCCTGAGGACTAAAATGGAATGCCTCATTTCCAGTAAAAAGGGTCTTCGGTAATATATTTTTATAATTTTTATCTGTTTGTCTGTCTGTCTGGGCTAATCTTCGGAACTTTGCGAACAGTTACAGAGCAATGCCGGAATATTTTATCTAAAAACTGAGAGATGTTTTTTTGCATTTGCCTTTGATTTTTTTTAAATATAAATAACGCCACTTTAACAGATCGTATCCAGGCAGGGAGTCTACGCTAGTATTTAAATAATAGATGGACAATTATGATAATAATTGATAGATATTGCCACAAAGCACGTTCCCGAGCCAATTTCCTCTACTAGTTGAGTTGAGTATACGCTTGATCAAGCAGTGATATGTAGTCACGACCGGGTTAAGTGATTCTGTTATCGACAAACTTTAAATATTCATGATCGCTTTACAGGAGCTGAGTGCCCAGCCGCGGTTTCTGGGTGACACGATTGTCGAGGCGAAGCCTCCTGGTGAGACGCAGCCACTTGATCCAAACGCTTCAGAGACAGAACTTGAAGACGAACCTGAGGAGCAGTTCGCTGCCAGGTAAATAAAGTTTTGTATAATAAACTATTCTCCACAACAAATATTTTCATTTTTCTTGGAATCACTCTAGATGCGAAGCTTCAATGGGGCCCCCATATATCAAAACTAGAGCAGACTTACTTCTGTGGTATATGCTGTAAAAAAAATTTGAAATCTTACCAGTGTTAAAAGAGGTAATTTTCTTTTCAGACTAATTTACTTTAGGTATTTTCATAGTATAATGTCGTATGATATTTTGATATGGGGACACGCAGCTGACACTGAAATTATATTTGTTTTACAGAAGAGGGTCATATGAGTAATTTATAATATAAAGCCTAAAGAGTCACTGCGACCAAAATTTAAGGAAATTAATATATTAACTTTGGCCTATCAATACATTTATGAAAATGTAATGTACGCACACAAAAATAAAAATAGTTATACAAAAATAAGTGATATTCATTCTGTAAATACTAGGAACAGACACAAGCTAGTAGAACCAGATACTCCACTCGACCAAGTCAGTAATTCATTCTTGCGGCGATGTATATGCTTTTTTTTTACAAAGAAACCGAAATACATACCAAATTTGACCTCCGCAAAGTTCAAAAACTTCATTAAATAAAGTTGGTATAAAAAAGGTTATTATAATATTAAGAAATTTATGGATGATTATAACCCCTGGAAATGAGGTGATCGCTGCCAAGCTATTTCTAATTTGTTTTGTGTTGCTAATTGTGTAATATATTATATGATTGTAGGGTGTTATTTTTTTTTTCAAAACAGTCACGCTGGATTTTTGCTGGATCTTCCCAGGACAGAGGTTTTTCTCCGAAGCAGTATTAAATTAAACCAAAGAGTAACTTTCAATAAGTATTATTTATAATCTTTATTGAATAAAATTATTAGCTCACATCTGGGTACCTAGAAGACGTACCCAACCTCTAGCCATACCAAGAGCTAACACAACTTTTTCTTTCGCGGAAGTAATTTTTTCGACAATCTGTCATAGGTAACAGCAACTTGGAATTATTTCGGACTAAGCCTTCAAATGTCCACAAGTTGTATGCCTCATTTTTTCGTCCCCCACTCTATGCGCGCCACAAATAATTAATCCTTTTACCCCTTTTTTGGATTCTTTAATTGATCAATTTTGTTTTAGTGTAAAGCTAATGTAGTCTATATACATTTTAATAATGGTATGCGAATACATTTTCATAGCTATGTAGATTTACCGAACATAGACCTCCCCCAAAGATTGCCTCATAGAGGGGGTATTTGCCATAGTTGCTACGCCTGGCAAGCGGGATGGCAACCGTAGTTTTCATTCTTAGTCGTTGTTAGGAAGACTGCTGCCCATCTTCTGATTTGTTTCCCTCTGTCACCCATTACAACAGACACGGGATGATATGGGGTAGTGGATATTCTTACACCGCCAGATTTCTATGTAGAATTAAAATTTCATAATTAGTTAAATGTATAAAAGCTGTAGGTGTTCTATTTAAAGTAAATAAAAAAGATGTGTGGGTGGTGTTTAGGTGGTGCGTGGAGGTGGGCGAGCTGGGCGATGCGGGGCTGTGCTGCGCGGCGGCTGCGCTGGCGCTCACGCCGCGCCTGCTGGCGCGCGTCGCGCCGCCCCACTCCTTCCGCCGCGGGTACACAGGTGCATTCAGGTATCCACCCCAACGTTACACTTTCCATACATATTACACCTGCTAGAGCTACGCTGCTCCTATATTATGCTTGTAGTACGAATGGCTCGGCTTGAAGAACCAGCGTGAAGTAGCGGCTTAGTACTGCTTTGTTTCGTATGGTGAGTGTAGAGAACCGGAGACCCTTTTTACGAGAGACGAGGCATTCATCAAGCAGCTATTTTACACTGGTATTCTGTGAGAGCGTGGTCCGTCCCCGGAGGAGCAACCGAGCTATTTGTGCTACAAGCAAAATATAACTGCAACATGGCTGTAGTACGTGTAACTGGTGGTGGTGCGTGCAGGTTCCAGGTGTGGGTGTTCGGGTCGTGGCGCGAGGTGGTGGTGGATGACCGGCTGCCGGCGCGCGGCGCCCGTCTACTGGCCAGCCGCTCCGCGCTGCCGCACGACTACACTCTGCCCCTGCTGGAGAAGGCCTACGCCAAGTATGCACCTCTTCAATGTCTTATTCAACTACACAGTCAAGTTCTCAATCAAATGATGATTAATCAATCAGTTTCCCAAATAATCCAGGGTCGACTGGTGCCATAAGGCATTAAGTCCGCCCTTTATATACGGATATACACACACAACGGTGTTATAAGGTGTGTTAAAGATTAAATAAATAAATAAATAAACATTCTCACCCGCCCCGTGTAGTGGTGGCTAAGAATACCTACTACCCCATATCTTCCCGTGGTTATCGTCAGGGGTGACGGAGGGAAACTGAGACAGAACATGATCATTTCCGATAACAGCAAATCACTATAAAAAACTGCGGTTGCCAACTCGCTTGCCAAGCGTGGCATCTATGGCAATATACCCCCCATGACAAAAGTTACAAAAAGACGGCCCCCAGTTCCCCGGCGGCTATTCTTGGCTACGGTGGCGAACATAGTAACGGCGGGGCAGGGGGTGCTAAGAATCTCCGGTGGAGGTTTGGTTGTCACCTAAGACAGCTCCTTAAAAACGGCAAGTCCCCGGGCGAGGATGGAATTACAGCGGAATTTCTGGAAGCGGATGTGTATACCGGTACTTAATGTCCTTCAGAAGCTCTTTAATTCCGTCCTCCATTGTGCCAATACTCCGGAGGCATGGAGCAGAAATGCGATGGTTTTGTTCTTCAAGAAAGGCGACAACGCTCTCTTGAAGAACTACAGACCGATTTCCCTTCTAAGCCGCGTCTACGTGATGTTCTGGAGAGTCATTACGAATCGTCTCGCACGTATACTCGACAACTTCCAGCCTCCCGAACAAGACGGTTTCCGAAAAGGCTTTAGTACCACAGGCCACATACATACCCTTGGGCAAATTGTACAGAAGACCGAGGAGTATAATTTGCCACTGTCTGGCTTATGTGGACTATGAGAAAGCCTTTCATTCCGTCGAAATTTGGGCGGTGCTGCCAGTCCCTTCAGCGGTGAAAATTTGACTGTCGTTATATCAAGTGCTGAAGTGTTTGTACAGTAGGGCTACGATGGCTATCCGAGTACAGCACCAGAGTACGCAACAACAGACGTGTAAGACAGGGGGCGTTATATCCCTAAAACTCTTCACCGCTGCATTGTAAGAAGTTTTCAAGCTACTGGACTGGAAAGGATACGGTATTAACATCAATAGCGATCCATGTCACACCTATGCCGGTAGTTGTTGGGAGCACTAAGCTCGAAGTTGTTGACGAGTATGTTTACTTGGGACAAATAGTCCGACTAGGTATGTCCAACTTCGACCGAGAGGTCAATCGACGGTTTCAACTCGGCTGGGCAGCGTCGAGAAATTACGACACAGCTTCTCGTCAGGTATACCTCAAAACTTGAAATCCAGTCTATAAACTGGGCGTGTTGCCAGTGATGACTTATGGAACTGAAACGTGGTCCTTCACTACTGGCCGAATGAGGAAGATCAATGTCGCTCAGCGAGCTATGGAGAGGACTATGCTCGGGGTTTCTCTGCATGATACATTAGAAATGAGGATATCCGCAGTAGAAACAGTGTGACTGACATAGCCCAACGGATTAATAAGCTGAAGTGACAATAGGCCGGTCATATAGCTCGAAGAACCGACAACCGATGGGGAAAAAAAAGGTTCGCGAGTGGCAGCTTCGTACCGGTAGGGGAAGTGTAGCGCAACCCCTCACTAATAGTGCTGGGTAAGTTCCGGCCCTGGTCGCCCCCCTTGATGGAGACTCTCGATCCGGACCTGCTGGAAAGGATGATCAGCACGCTCTTCCCAGAGGACCTGTCAAGTCCCTCAAGCTACCCGCCACACAGGGACAGGCTTAGGCAGCTTTTTACCGCCTGTCTGCGAAGTGCAAAGTTCCCCACCGCATGGAAAGAGGCAAGGTTGGTCCTCTTGAAGAAGGAAGGCAGGGCCGCCGATTCTCCCTCTGCGTACCGTCCCATATGCCTCTTGGACGAGATTGGCAAATTGTTCGAAAGAATAATTGCCACTCGTCTCAACGGGTATCTGTCGCGTGTTGGTCTTGATTTGGCTGATAGCCAGTTTGGATTCCGACGGGAGCGTTTTAAAGTAGATGCCATCATGCGCGTTTGCTCCCTGTCGGAACAAGCAGTATCCCAGTGTGGTGTGGCGTTGGCGATAAGTCTCGATATCGTCAACGCCTTTAACTCTCTACCCTGGGGCGCAATCAGGAGCGCACTGGCACACCATCAGGTGCCCTCCTACCTGCAAGGTGTTACTGGGGACTACTTGCGCGACAGGTACATCCTGTACATAGGGCAAAATGGTAGATAGATCCGAAGGGAGATCAGACATGGGGTTCTACAAGGCTTGGTGCTGGGGCCGCTACTGTGGAACCTCGCCTATGGTGCGGTGCTGCGAGTTAAACTTCCCGCTGGCGTAGATATCGTTTGCTATGCCGACGACACGTTGGTGGTTGCCAGCGGAGTCACCTTTGAGAGGGCCAAAGAGCTCGCCAAGCTTGAGGCGGAAGTCGTTGTCGCCAAAATCCACGAGTTGGGATTAGAAATAGCACCTCACAAGAATGAGGCCCTATGGTTCCATAAATTACGACGCGGCAGGGAACCACCCAACTCTTGCGTCCGCGTAGGTGGGTTTGAAATCCGAGTGGGGTGGTACATGAAGTACCTAGGCCTCCACCTGGACAGTCGATGGGGCTTCGAAGAACACTTCGTGCGCCTTGTCTTCCGAATCGAAAGGGTAGCGGGTGCTATGCATAGACTGCTGCCCAATCTAAGGGGACCAAGGGAAGATGTGCGTCGCCTCTATGCAGGAGTGATACGGTCCGTAGTCTTGTACAGGGCGCCTGTTTGGGTGAAAAGGCTGGCCATCCAACGCTGTAGAGCTAAACTCAATAGTCACTCCGCATCCCATACGCTGGCAACATGCCCAGCGTGGGAACGGGAGTGGACGATCCTGGTAAGCCGGATCGCTCAGAACCTCTCCCTGCCAGCAGTCGTGTCGGCGATGCTGAGCAGGGACTCCGCATGGAAGGCCGTAGCCGCTTCTTCTGTGAATCCGTTGTGGTCCAGAAGAAGGCTGCTGAGCGGTGTCGGGAGAGGACAGATCCCGCTCGGAGACGACGTCGCCAAGGCGTTCGTCACGGACCTCCCCTTTATGATGGTGTCCCCCTACCAGAAACGGGGTCTTGGGGGTTACGGGCGCTCGGGGCAGGGGCCCCGTGCGTCTAGTGATGTAACACCTGAGGAGGACGGTGACTCGAAAGTGGTCTCGGGCACCGTGATAGCATTGCTAGGGTGCTGGGAGTAGTAAGGACTGCCCCCGGGACGTGCTTTAACAGAGCAAAGTGAGAGAGGGTCCCCGGTTGCGTTCCGAACGGAGATCCCGGGACCCCTCGTATACGCTGTTGGAGACCACCGTGGGGTTTTGGCCGATAGAAGTCCGACATAACCTATCTGTTGCCCCCGCAGAAGAAGGTATCCATGAGGGTTTCACCACGATAAAAAAGGGCGACCCCCCACTAGATGGAGTGACGACCTGGTAAGACATGCAGGAAATCGATGGATGCAGGTGGTTCAGGACCATGCTTAGTGTCTTTGGGGGAGGCCTATGTTCAACAGCGGACTTGTGAATGAATGAATGATGATGATGATGATGATGAAATAAATAAATAATAAAAATAATCTTATATTTAACTTTTTATATAATAAAATAATTATATTCCAAATATATTAATGATATTTATAGGATTTTTTTTAATTTTAATACTTTCATGATGATGTCACTGGAAAAGAGTTCAACGGCCGTAAAAGTAAAAGTCATATAATTAAAAGAATCAGAAATTCTTTTCATTTTTTTGCTATTCTTTTATAATGTGATGTGAAAATTAATGAGCGATTTTTTCATGCATATATTATCTAATTAATTATCACATCTTTCATTAGAAAAACTCTTATATGAATTTCATTTCTAGTTTAGTCCTTAATAAAAAGAAAAAAGAATTAAATTTACTTAAACAGAAATAGAAAAAGATAGTTTTTTATTCGATATAGATTAAAAATAATTATTATTGAAAGTCTCTTTTATGAGTGATTTGCCACTGGATCGAAAAATACCTATCTCCTGGGAAAAAACCAGCAAGAAACTGGCTTTTAAAAAAACATTTTAAAATCATTAAAATTACACAATAATTAACAATACGAAACAAAGTAGAAATTAGCTTCGTAGCGATCACATAATTCTCATTCTATTATTATCTATAAATTCCTTAATATTATAATAACCCTTTTTATACAAACTTTGTTTAATAATTTTTTTGACAAAGGTAATTTTTTTATATTTCCTGGGGTTTTGTTGTAAAAGCGTTTGCATCGGCCCAAGAATGAATTACTGATTCGGTGGAGTCGAGTAACTGGTATTATTAACTTGTGTCTGTTCCTAGTATATACAGAATAAATATTACTTACTTTTTTAAAAATGTTTTTATTAAATTTGGTAAAAATTTCCTCGCTTAAATTTATATATTACGCGCTCGATAAAATAAAATGTGCACGCAAGAGAGGCAGGGCGGGAGGTGCTCTTCAAACAAGGTAAGGCGCATCATTTTATTTTATCGAGCGGATATACGCGAGTTGATTTTTACCAAATTTAATATAATAGATTTCCGCGAAGTAACGCCTGATTCTATTAATTACTGTTCTTATTTTTGTGATACATACATTACATTTTCGTAAATGTATTGAAAGGTCAATGTTATTATGTTAATTCCCTATTTGTCTTGGCCACTCTTTAGATTCTAAATCGTAGGTTGCTTTTATGGCCTTCTTCTGTAAAAAAATATAATTTTAGTGTCATTCGCGTATCGCAATAGCAAAATACTGTGTGACATTATGCTATGGAAATAACTAAAATAAAGTAGTCTAGCTGTTTCAACACTGGAAAGATTTATAATCTTTACAGCATATGCTGCAGAAGTATGTTTGATATATGGGGACCTCATCTTTAAATGCAAATTATTAACGTTAAATAAATAACCAATTCGTCATATTTTAGTAATTATCGTTTTACTTTGAAAATTAATGAAGAATTATCAGTAAATAATTCTATACAGCGGACCCGTATTCTCATTTCTAAGTTTATCACCCATAGAAACCCCGAGCATAGCCTTCTCCATAGCTCGCTGAGCGACCATGAGCTTTCTCATCCGGCCAGCAGTGAAGGACCACTTCTCAGTTCCATAGGTCATCACTGGCAACACGCACTGATTGTACAGTCTCGTTTTCAAGTTTTGAGGTATACCTGACGAGAAGATGTGCCGTAATTTCCGGAACGCAGCCCAGCCGATTTGAATCAGTCGATTGACCTTTCGGTCGAAGTTGGACTTACCTAGTCGGACTATTTGTCCCAGATAAACATACTCGTCAACTACTTCAAACTTAGTGCTCCCAACAACTACCGGCATAGGTGTGACATGGATGTTATACATGATCTTTGTTGTGTCCATGTATATTAAGACCTAAGTATCCGTTGGGAGGCACTATATACACGCCTCCGAAGTAGTGCCACCATGGAGAACGGAATTAAAGAGCTTCTGAAGGACTTCAAGTACCGGTTTTCCACCCTCTTTCAGAAGCTCCAATCTGTAATTTCATCCTAGCCTATGGCCTTGCCGTTTTTAAGGTGCTGGGAAACCATTCTAAAATCGCTCAAACTGACGTCCGCAATATCATCGGAATCTTGAGAAATCTATATGGAATAAAAATGATTCTATTCTATTGTAATGTCTTAATGGCACCCCGGCAGGCTGTACGGTTCGTACGCGGCGCTACGCGGCGGATCGTGCGCTCGCGCGCTGCAGGACATGACGGGCGGCGTGGTGCAGAGCTTCGCACCGCCGCGCCAGCCGCCCGCGCTGCTGCTGCGCGTGCTCAACACCGCCGTGCCGCGCTCCACGCTGCTCGTCGCCACCGCCAAGCCGGTACGTGCCGTCCACTCGCATCTCGTGTCGCACTTCGTGTCGCACGGCAGCCTGTACACGTGGTGCAGAGCTTCGCGCCGCCGCGCCAGCCGCCCGCGCTGCTGCTGCGCGTGCTCAACTCCGCCGTGCCGCGCTCCACGCTGCTCGTCGCCACCGCCAAGCCGGTACGTGCCGTCCACTCGCATCTCGTGTCGCACTTCGTGTCGCACGGCAGCCTGTACACGTGGTGCAGAGCTTCGCGCCGCCGCGCCAGCCGCCCGCGCTGCTGCTGCGCGTGCTCAACTCCGCCGTGCCGCGCTCCACGCTGCTCGTCGCCACCGCCAAGCCGGTACGTGCCGTCCACTCGCATCTCGTGTCGCACTTCGTGTCGCACGGCAGCCTGTACACGTGGTGCAGAGCTTCGCGCCGCCGCGCCAGCCGCCCGCGCTGCTGCTGCGCGTGCTCAACTCCGCCGTGCCGCGCTCCACGCTGCTCGTCGCCACCGCCAAGCCGGTACGTGCCGTCCACTCGCATCTCGTGTCGCACTTCGTGTCGCACGGCAGCCTGTACACGTGGTGCAGAGCTTCGCGCCGCCGCGCCAGCCGCCCGCGCTGCTGCTGCGCGTGCTCAACTCCGCCGTGCCGCGCTCCACGCTGCTCGTCGCCACCGCCAAGCCGGTACGTGCCGTCCACTCGCATCTCGTGTCGCACTTCGTGTCGCACGGCAGCCTGTACACGTGGTGCAGAGCTTCGCGCCGCCGCGCCAGCCGCCCGCGCTGCTGCTGCGCGTGCTCAACTCCGCCGTGCCGCGCTCCACGCTGCTCGTCGCCACTGCCAAGCCGGTACGTGCCGTCCACTCGCACCTCGTGTCGCACCTCCTGTCGCACGGCAGCCTGTACACGTGGTGCAGAGCTTCGCGCCGCCGCGCCAACCGCCCGCGCTGCTGCTGCGCGTGCTCAACTCCGCCGTGCGGCGCTCCACGCTGCTCGTCGCCACTGCCAAGCCGGTACGTGCCGTCCACTCGCACCTCGTGTCGCACCTCGTTTCGCACCTCGTTTCGCACCTCGTTTCGCACGGCAGCCTGTACACGTGGTGCAGAGCTACGCGCCGCCGCGCCAGCCGCCCGCGCTGCTGCTGCGCGTGCTCAACTCCGTCGTGCAGCGCTCCACGCTGCTCGTCACCACCGCCAAGCCGGTACGTGCCGTCCAATCGCACCTCGTGTCGCACGGCAGCCTGTACACGTGGTGCAGAGCTTCGCGCCGCCGCGCCAGCCGCCTGCGCTGCTGCTGCGCGTGCTCAACTCCGCCATGCCGCGCTCCACGCTGCTCGTCGCCACTGCCAAGCCGGTACGTGCCGTCCAATCGCACTTCGTGTCGCACCTCGTGTTGCACGGCAGCCTGTACACGTGGTGCAGAACTTCGCGCCGCCGCGCCAGCCGCTCGCGCTGCTTGTCTATACCAAGTAGTAAAACTTACCACTACATTAATGACGAATGGATCGATATCGCAATATGGCGCAAGAGAGGTGGAAGAAGGGACAAGAAGACTTTATTCTGCATTTATAAACAACACATGCACTTAACCACACTCTTGAAGAGTTCTATGTAGCAACAAATCTTATGGTTTATGAATGTTAGAGACTTGAGTGATGTTGACATCTTTTACTAATTCTGGAAACTATTGGTTACAAAACATGTCACACAGTTGTGATTGATCGAAAGGACACCATATTACACGTCTCCATAGTGCAATGGCTTAGCGTTGAATTACGGTGTTTAGGGTCGCGATCTTTAACGCGGCGTGAAACAAGTATTTGTGTGGCCTTAAAATAATTGTTTTGGGTATAGGATGTTTGTCCTTACGCAACATATGTCTGTAAACTGCTTCCACGATATCGGAACCTTTTTAAAATAGAAAAAAATAAGTTTTGATGTATCAGCGGTAAAACAGTTTATAATGTGGGCGGCAGGAGAAGGAGGGAAGCGGGCAGCGGATGCGCAACGGGCTGATCGCGGAGCAAGCGTACTGCGTGACGGGGCTGGCGCGCGTGCGGGAGGCGGGCGGCGGGGCGGGCGGCGAGGAGGAGGGCGGCGGCGTGCTGGTGCGCGTGCGCGCGCCGAGCGGGCGCGGCGAGTGGCGCGGCGCGGGGGCGCGCGGCGGCCCGCTGTGGCGCGCGCTGCCGCCCGCCGACCGCGACCTGCTCGCCGCGCGCACGCCGGAGCCCGCGCACTTTTGGTACGTGCGAGCACCGCTCACTTTGCCACCAAAGCTTAAATAAAGAAGCTCGCCTTCCCACAGGTAGGCTATCTTCTTTATTTAAGTAAAGTTTAATAATATTAATCTTGGCTTTTTTTCAATTTGATCAGGTTATCTCATGAGTCATGACCTACTAGACTTCCTCTTATTCTTGTGCTAATCTTTTCTATATCTTAGGCAGATCATCCTCCTTTTCATCTGCCAGTTCTTACAGAATGATGATGTAGTTTTTCTCGTTTATATTAGTGCCAAGTTTTACTTAATTAGGTTCAGTTGCCAAACGTTTTCTAAAACTCGAAATTTCCGGAACACCTCGTTACATTTTTCATTTTTCTAATATTTGTTTGACAACGTGAATATGATCAATTGTCGAGAATTTGAAACAAAATTCGGTTTGTTCCTTCCACTGATTACTGGCGAGTACTCTAGTCCACCGTTTCAGTAATATATTTATGAACACTCATTACAGATTCACCATTAAGCTGGTGGGTCTGTAATTATTATTTATAATCATTTCTGTCTATAATATTATTGTGAACAATATCCAGAGATTGAATTTTTTCTGTAGTCAAGATTTAGTTACATTAGTGAATATGATCAATTGTCAAGAATTTGAAACAAAATCCGGGTTGTTCCTTCCATTGATTACTGGCGAGTACTCTAGTCCACCGTTTCAGTAATATATTTATGAACACTCATTACAGATTCACCATTAAGCTGGTGGGTCTGTAATTATTATTTATAATAATTTCTGTCTATAATATTATTGTGAACAATATCCACAGATTGAATTTTTTCTGTAGTCAAGATTTAGTTACATTTGTTAGTTAATATTCTGTTTCTATATTATGATATATTTTAATAAATTTCTCCTGCCTTTTGTATTTGAATAACCCTTCTGTGTTCACTTTGTATTATGGGGGTTGATTTTTGGTCTGTGTCAAAGTTTTGTTCTACGTTTTCTGAAATTTAATTAGTATATGTGTACAACTATTTGTTGAAGTTTCTTGCAGTTTTTAAAATCTTTCAATTTAACATTTAGTTACGTTGTGCAATTTCTGAGTTTTCGGGGATTTGGATTAGAGGACCTGTAGAATGCAGCGTTGACTTCGTGAAACGTGATTTTTCCAACTTAACGTTTAGGTTCAGTGTCTCTTATCATATGGTGATCGTTCCCAGTTTTCACCCTCGCGATCACTGAGATATCACTGAACAGTTACCGTCTAGTCATCTATTTTTTTGTTAAACTGTCGGGGCTCGACCAGGTCCACTTTCGGTGGGGCCGTTTCTGGAAGATATACGTTCATGATAAAAGGTTTCTCTTTTTTCATGAAGTCGGTCACGTGCTGTTCCTTTCGGTTAAGACTAATTAATTACGATGAATATCCAATGAGTACGGTTCAGCAATGTTGTTGAGTTTTTACATAACAGTGTTGATACTTACTCGTAGTTAGGATGAAAGTGAAGGAGTGAACGCGTGGGGTGTGGGGTGTTGGGCGTGGGGTTGCAGGATGCCGTTCGCGGAGTTCGCGCGCGCGTTCTGGCGGCTGGAGCTGGTGCACGTGGGGCCGGACGAGTGGGTGCGCGAGGCGGCGCTGCGCGCGCGCCGGCCGTGGCGCCTGGTGGTGGCGCGGCGCCGCTGGCGCGCCGGCTACAACGCGGGCGGGCCGCCGCCGGGCCGCACGGCCGCCGCCAACCCGCAGTTCCGCGTGGCCGTGCCGCCGCCCGCCGCCGCGCACCTGGTGCTGGCCGTGGCGCAGCGCTACGAGCCGGCGGCGCCGCGCCCGCTGCGCGGCGTCGGCTTCGCGCTCTTCGAGCTGCCGCCCGCCGCCGTCGCACGCCGCGCCGCGCTCGCCACTGACGAGGACGCCTTCAAGCACTACGTCAGTACACTGTCACTACCGATCATTCAACTAATAAATACTTACCTACTGGAACAACTATTTCAAACAAAATATGTGCACTAATCTATGTCAGGATCCCTTCGGCACAAATAGGGTTATTCAATTTCAAATTTCTTAAAAACATACGTACAAATATTCAAAGAGCACATTAAATTCGCCTTCTTAATCACAACCGCCACAAACATGAAAACATTTCGCGGAAAACCCAAAGCATTTTTATTTTTAATTTAAAGAATTTTTAATTAAGTGCTCGACCAAAACAAAATCTTATAGTCCCTGACAGCGCGATTCAACGCTCCCGGGGAGCCCTAGTCTTCCCAACAACCAAGCGGAGGCCACACCGTGTTGTGAACCCGAATCCAATAGAGCGCGTACCGTTAAACAATCGACGCTCGGGTTTTACACCCTCACTGAGGTCGTCGGCGATGGAACAGTTTGACAAGTGGGCTGTTGACGGCTCAAAAAATTAGTGGAGGCGGCCGTGGTGGGAGGTAGGGCGGCAGCTACCTAGCTGGGGCTGCCTGCAACAAAGGGAGAACGGTGGTACTCCAGCCGTGGCCACTCAGCTGACGGGGGTGAGAAGGGTCTAGCTGACCGCTGAGTGGCAGTGAAGTCCCTCTCAACACACTGAGGGGGCTCGAATACAAATCAATTAACAAATACAATTCCTATCAAATCAAGTTAAATACAAATTACACAAATACAAATTATTATTTATTAAATTAAATACAAATTACACGACAAATAAAGGTACACACCACAGTCGATCAGCAAAAATGCCTCGCTCAGACAACCGACCCTTCGACAATTAATCTACTATAATTATACGACAACGATAATTACCCGATTACGTCATAAAAATTATCTACCTACCAGACGCATACCTAGCCCTAACAAACTCCCGCTTGCGCAACCTACGGGCGTTGCTTTCATTCTACCCGCTAACAAACAAAAAAGCAAGCAAAGAGGAAAATAATTTTAATAATTTTTATTTTTAGACAACCTAAACCAAGGCGGTTTTCACGAAAACCACAATTACGTAGCGAAGTAACACGCACTAATTCTAAAAATCTAGACCATAAACTGGTCGCGCAAAACTTCTCCAGCTGCAACCGATATACGCGGATTAACCGCACCGCTGCTCTGAATCTACTAAGTTACTTAGCCCAGCGCCGGAATCACCGGAGCCGGCATACCACCGCCCCCGCACCGCGACTCGCGTGACACCTAACACCATCCGAACGTTTTATTGGGTGGCGTTTCATATTACTATTTTTGGGCCTAAACATTATTAATACTATATATTATGACTTACCTTCTCTTGTATATAGACTAGAAATAGGAATAGACCGAGAATTGAGCCTTGAAGTACTCCCATGAGTACACGTGACGCGGAAGAACTTTTCCATTGATAATAACTTTCTTCGTTGTATTATTAATGTTTTTTTTTATGAAAATTAATATCTATTTAATTTAAAATAAAATAATATACAATATTTTATTACATACAATATTAAAAACTATAGAAGAAAACTAAAACTAGTAAAAAAAAAAACTAAAACGGCGACGGGGTTCGCCACCCGTCACGTCCTGTCTCCCGGGGGGGGGCGAAAAGTGGATTGCGGAGGTCCGTCTGGCCACGCTGAATGTATGTGGAGCAATGAATGATAAGATGGATGAAGTATGCGAAATGATGAATGATAGAGGAATAGATGTGTTATGTGTAAACGAGACGAAACGAAAGGGAAGAGATGTCACTGCACATGGCATGTATACCGCTTACTGGTCTGGAGTAGACGAGACCGAGCGGGCATGCCAGGGAGTCGGTGTCATCCTTTCAGAAAGAATGGGTCAATGTGTGAAAGAGTATGAATGTGTTAGCCCAAGGCTGCTGTGGATACGAATGAAAGTGGGCTTAAAGAAGTTGTTTGTGCTAGGGGTGTACGCCCCAGATATGTCTAAGCCCACTTATATCCGAGAGCAGTTTTGGGACATGGTAAGGCTGGTGTTGATGAAATGTAAGGAAAATGAAAATATTATTATGTTAGGAGATTTTAATGGAAGGGTTGGGGTGAAGAGGTCTGGTTATGAAAGGATATTAGGAACGTTTGGCGATGAAAGAATAAATGAGAATGGTGAAGACCTCCTCACCGTATGTGTGTAAAAGAATCTTTTGTGGCGAACACTTTCTTTCGCCATAAGAGGATTCACATGTATACATGGGAAAGAGGGGATGATAGAAGCATGATAGATTTTATAATTGTGGATGAAAGAATGAGGAGCGCAGTGGTAGATACAAGGGTTTACCGGGGGTCCAGCGTAGGGACGGATCATTACTTGGTCTTATGCCGAATTAATGGTCTATTCAGACGTTGGCGGCATCGGACATCGGTGTCTACCACTGCGTTACAGCGTATAAGAATAGAGAGGTTACAAGATGAAGGTGTGAAAGAGAAGTATAAATGCAGATTGAGGGAAAATATAAGTGGGTTGAATGAATTATGTATGAATGATTTAGAATTGAAGAATGTATGGAATAATATTAAGAAAGTTTTGGTGGATGCAGCCACCGAAGTATGCGGTGTAAGTAAGAGAACGAATGAAAGGAGAAGTAATACGTTGTGGTAGGATGATGAGGTACGGATGGAAGTTGAAGCAAAGAAGAGAGCATGGCTAGATTTACTAGCAACTAAAGCTGGTAATTCTGGCGGTATGAATGATGAGATTGAAAGAAAAAAGGCAGACTTTAGACGTATAAATAAGAGAGTAAAAGAAGTTGTTGAAAGGAAAAAGCAAGAAAGGATAGATAAGAATGATAGAAGGATATCTGATAACTTCCAGGCAAATATTAAAATGTTCTGGAAGCTCGTAAGAACTGCCAGGGGAAATTCAAAACAGCCTAGAATAAATGCTATACGAGACGAGAATGGCTGCATGCTGAATGATGAAGTTTCGAATTTAAAGAGGTGGAAGGAATACTTTGAAAGCGTGTTTAAGAGTGAAGAGTCGTCTGGAATAAGTGAAATAGAAATTCCGGAAGAAGTGGAGAGAGGTAGGGAGATAAGTGTAGATGAAATAATGAAAGCAATGAAAAGCATGAAAGCAGGTAAGGCAACAGGATATGATAGAGTATCACTCGAAATGCTAAGGGCTGGTGAGGGTGTGGTTACAGGCCTGCTGCACACCTTGTTTAATTTATGTTGGGAACTGAAATGGGTACCGGAAGACTGGTGCAAAGCCGTTATAGTCCCAATATATAAGGGAAAGGGGTCGCAGCAGGACTGTAAAAACTACCGTGGTATCAGCTTGCTTAGCATTGTGGGTAAACTGTATGCTAAGGTGTTAATTGAAAGAGTTATGGAAGAAACTGATGGAAAAATTTGGGATGTGCAAGCTGGATTTAGAAAGGGGATGGGGTGTACGGATCAAGTCTTTTCCATGCGCATGATAGCGGAGAAGTTTTTGGCTAAAACCAGAAAGTTTTTTGTGCGTTCATGGGCTTGGAAAAGGCTTATGACAGAGTGGACAGGAATGTGTTATGGCAAACACTGAACTCATTTGGGTTGAGCGCTGGCTTGATACAGGCATTAAGATCTCTTTATAGGGACTCTAGTGCTTGTGTCAGGATCAACGGGGTCTACTCGGACTGGTTTGGCATTCATAAAGGTGTCAGACAGGGATGTGTGGCTTCCCCGTGGCTGTTTAACTTATTTATGGACAGTTGTTTGCAAACTTTGAAAGTTGAAGAATGTGGGTTGAGAATGGGTGAGTCAACCGTCAAATACCTTTTGTACGCCGATGATCAAGTCATATTTGCATCGTCGGCGGCCGAGTTGCAAATGATGGTTACTTTAATGAATTGGTCATTGAAAGAAAGGGGTATGAAAGTGAACGCAAGTAAGACGAAAGTGATGGTTTTTGAAAGAGAAGAAAGTAAAGCTTTATGTGAAATAAGAATAGAAGGGGAGTTGATTGAGCAAGTGGATGAGTTTGTATATTTGGGATGTTTATTTAGCAGGGATGGTAGATATGATAAGGATATAGAACGACGAGTGAACGCAGGAAATAGAGTGAATGGGGCTCTACACGCTATTATGAGGAGTCAGAATGTGTCAACTAAGGCACGTATGGCAATTCATAATGCTGTGTTAGTCCCTACTTTAATGTATGGTAGTGAAAGTTGGGTCTGGCAGAAGAAGCATGAGAGTAGAATAAATGCTGTAGAAATGCGTTCCTTAAGGAGTATGCTAGGGCTGAATCTGAATGACAGGGTGAGAAATAGTGTGATAAGAGAAAAGTGTGGTTTGCAAGATGACGTTGTGACAAGGATTAAGAAAGGAATGCTTCGGTGGTTTGGTCATGTAGAAAGAATGAACGAGGAAAGAGTGACAAAGCAAATTTATGTTGCGGAAGTGAACGGCAGGGTCGGGAAGGGACGCCCTAGACGAAGGTTTATCGACCAAATCGGCGATACATTAAAAATGGGCCAGATTAGGAGTACCCATAACCGACGAGCGTGTATGCGTAGATATATGGATGTAAAAGAGGCGAGAGAGGTGTGTCAGGATCGCGCCAAATGGAAGTCCGTAGTCTCTGCCTACCCCTCTGGGTGACAGGCGTGAGTGTTTATGTTATGTGTAAAACTAGTAACTTAATTATCATACAGTCCTACTCCAAGCGGTATCTTGCCAAGAATGCGGCAAGATACCATTATATATATATATATATATATATATATATATATATATATGTACCAAGATATTTCCCCGCTGAACGGCTATACGTAGGCTTTGAGAGAGAAAAGAACCAGCCCTCTTATCACCAGCAGTAACGAGCAGCCGCGGATGGAGTTCCTTTAAGAACTTCACCGCACGTAAACCCCACGGACCGATAGTCTCCACAGCAAATAGCACAAATATGTAATCATTATTAAAATATAAAATAATAAGTTCTCGACTCCATAGTCCCGTAATTTCCTGATTAATGTCTCATGGTAGACAGACACAAGAATATGTTCAATAATCTCAACGCCGGTGTCAGCTGTCGATCGACCCCTTGGAGAACCAAATTGATATTTACAACGAAAAAATTTACATCTATTCGAAAAGAATTTTATCAAAAATGTTACTAAATGTACTAGTACAGAACTTGGTCTAAAATTAACGACACTGCCGAACTTGGGTCTCTCCCACAGTAAAAAAGATTTCCATGATCAACACGTGGTACCAGACATTTCGCATAAAGACAAACACATTACACACCACACATTTTTAACCCAACAAGAAAATTATGGTGCAGAATTTGTTCGTTGAAATGGCGTAAAAAGTATGGTTGGCACAGCGACCGCTGGAAACAGCACACGCCGGGCGCGCCCGTGAGGTGGCTGCCTTCGTGCTGCTGGCTCCGGGACACTACCTGCTGGTGCCGCACGCGCGCCGCGCGCACGCCGAGGGCGCCTTCCTGCTGCGCGTGCTGTGCGACCGGCGCGCTGATGTCTGGTACTGCTGCTCGCTATTTCTGTTGCCGCCATAAAAACAAAAAATAAATTAAAAATAAAAGTTGGTTATTACTAACATATATTACGATGGTACAGGACCCTTCATGCGCGAGTCTGATTCGCACTTGGCCGGTTATTTTACTACTCGTTGGTTCTTTATGCACTATTTCCGGTCATGACGTTGATTTAAATGGGCTTGTAATTAGTGACCGAGGTTCGGTTTCGGTTTCGGTTTCGGCAAGTTTCGGCAAAAAAATCTAGTTTCGGTAATAGTTTCGGTTTCGGCAAAAAATCTGCCGAACCTTCGGCGGCGCCGAAACTCAGTGTTTGGATTATAGTGCGTCGTTCAGATGAGTTTGTGACTCGTGTACTATTCATAATTATACAGAAACAGAAACTTTTTTTACTCAATATACCTAGATTGTAAATAATACTAATTGAAATTCATTATTTTGCTTAATTACCACTAGTTCGAAAAAAAGCCTCTGTCCTTGGAAGAACCAGCAAGAAACCCAGCGAGATTTTCTTAATAATAACTAATATAAACTTGGGCGAAGTTGCATCAGCGAAGCCCCTTTTCTTTCGTTCCAAAAATCTACCCAATAGATCTATCCTACTAAACATGCTTTGACACGATATATGAGGGCGACACTGAATGTTTTTAGAACTGGCCACTTGTAAACAATATAGGTAATAAAAAAATAAGTAAAAATTTTGAAAATGGCACTCTTTGCCAATATTATTGTGTATGTATTTTATTAATTTGTCATTTGTTTACGATTTGGCGGCAAATTGAAAATTGTGTGTCACATCAGCATAAACTTAACGCGAGAAAATTTTCGAACAATGATTTTTTATGAATTTCGATGTCATTTAAGTCAACAAGAAAGTTATGATTGACTTGGATTGGCCTTTCACGATGAAGCCCCATCGTGTGCCACTGTTTAATGAGTTTAAACGTGGTCGCACTAATCTAAAGGGACGGCCTACTACGGCGACGTCTGAAGATAACATCAGTGTTGTGCGGCGTATGATAGAGACTGACAAAAGAGTGACTTATCAGCAGATTCGGACAAGCAAGGCATCGGTATGAGTCAAGTGCACAAAATCCAGCATGAACATTTAGCGGTCAGGAAGCTTTGTGCCTGGTGGATACCTCAAAATTTGACAAGGCCCCAAAACTCCGTTGTGTTGATTGGTGTCGGGAAATGGTTCAAAGATTTAACGGAGGCGACTGAAATGCTGAGATCGACATACTTACGGGGTTACGAAAACTGGGTTTATTGTTATGATCCTAAAACTAAGAGACGGTCTGTTGTCTGGGTGTTTCCTTCCGAGGAGTTGCCAACTAAAGTGAAGAGCGGTCGAAGCGTGGGAAAAAAGATGGTGGCCTCGTTCTTCGGAAGGACAGGTCATTACGCAACAATTGTTTTAGAGGATCGAAAAACAGTTACTGCAGAGTGGTATAGTAACAATTGTTTGCCACTTGTCTTGGAAAAAGTTCGGGAGAAACGACCTAGCAGCAGGATCCTCCTTCACCACGACAATGCCTCGAAGCACACCGCCAAGCAAATAATCGCCTACTTGGCGACGTCAGACGTGGAATTACTGGGTCACCCACCCTATAGCCCCGACCTGGCACCTTGCGATTTTCATTTATTTCCGAAAATAAAAGAAAAACTTCGTGTAAAACGTGTTATGGACTCCGAGAAAAGAGTGGCTGCGTTTAAAATGCCGTCGAAGAGGCCCCTAAGGACGAGTGGGCAAAGTGCTTTTCTAAGTGGTTCCATTGGATGCAGCGATGTACTGATGTAAATGGACACTATTTTGAAAAGATATAATAAATATATATCTGCATTTTGATTCTTTATTGAGGATAGATGTGGATGTCTGTGGGTCACAGCAACCACTTAACATCAGGTGGACTGTGTGCTCGTTTGTCACCCTATCCTATAAAAAAGCTACTAACTTGCTAGTTTGTTCAATTTTTGATTTTCTATGAACTTTCAGTGTCACCCTCGTGCCTACTCACTCATATCTATTAATTCCTGACAAGTCTCGTATTCCGTCAATGTAACAATCGCGGTCTTTGAAGGTAGTTACAACCACCTCGTCGTCGCATTTAAGAGGAGCTACCTGCGAAACCCGAAAAAAACACACATAAATTTGTGACTTTTTCGAGCGTAAAAGTGATCAAATTAATTCGTCATCTGTGGTAAAGTCTGGGGCATCGCATTTTGGGGGCCTCGCGAGGCCCTTTTAAATGCGAGGCCGTGGGCGGGGGCAGGTTTTATATACTTTCTGGGATTTTGTTAAGTTGTGTGTATATCATATGTAAGTGTGTGAGTGTGATATATTAAGTTAATGCACTCGCTAATAATATTGTGAACACAATAAAATATGCGCTCAATTAGCGAGTAACTTTTATGGGTGTAAGTGTTGATTTTTCCACAAAGTTGACTTAAAAAAAGTATTTCTTAATGTTAAATTGTTGATTTTTACTATAAAATAAATAAATACATTGCTACAAGCCTATTACAATAACTGTTTTTCATTAATATGCATTACCTATCTGTATATGTATAAAAACATACCAGATTTCAGTATACAATAAAAAAATAACATGCCTAAATAAGTTTCGGTGACGGTTTCGGTTTTCTGCCGAAACTGACACCCAGACCGAAGGTTCGTTTTCGGTTTCGGTTTCGGTTGAAAATCCTGTTTCGGTCGGACACTAGTTGTAATATAAACCATGTTATAATTTACAATACATTTTGTCCACAGGGAAGTGAACGACGACAATGTCATCATCAGAGATATCAACACTGAGTTCCAGGACGATGGCCGCTCTATACCGGTAATTTATTATGGTCTATTTTTTATAACATTTCTCAGTAGTGACAAACGTTCCTTTATGAAATAATTTTATCTTTCTAGCCGCACGTGGAAGCAGCTATTTCTAAAGTAATTAGGAAGCAAGGCTCCGACGAGGTAATAACTTTTTTAAATATTTATTTACGTACACTCAACAAGTTACAGAAACAAGTATACAGTGAGTTCTTATAAATGTACTACTTATTCCATGTTATATTGAAATATCTGTGAGTAGTCCCATACAGGAAAATAAATATGTTAAAAAAATCTTACTGCGTATATTTCTAATGCATAAATAATATACACAATATAATATAAAATTATAACAAAAAAAAATGGTATACAAAAAATAATTTTTAATAGGTACCAATTTATATAAACAATGTACGGATCATAATATGAGACATAAACACTGCGAGTAACACTCGTTATACCATAATAAACATTGTTTAAATATCAAGATGCAAATCTATTACACGTTTCTTAAATACTAAGAAAGTTTCAGAATGTCTAATATTAAGTGGGTGAGGGTTCCACAACCGAACCGCATGGACAGGAAAGAAGTAGGATTAAAACCGGAATTATTGGCAGGAAAGTTAGGAAGAGTTTTGAGGAGGGATCTGCATGGTTCATCCAGAGGATGGATGAAGGAAAATCGGCTTCTTAAATATGAGGGAGAGGAATTGTGATGGATTGTGCAGGATGTTATAGAGACAGGGATATAGTAATCGAGTGTTTCTATGAAGTCGACTTAAGCTGCTTGCGAATTTGAGATATTCGTTCAAATTTCCTGAGCCCGTATACGAGTATGAAACGAATAGACTGACTGTTAACGCAAACGCTCAAGTTTATTAAGCAGCTCCTCTATAGCGTTCATACAATAGGTATTACTATAATCAAACAGAGGTTGAATAAGAGTGAGCGCGAGTGATATTTTAGTTTTTAGAGGTAAGACATTTTGTAAGCACTGAAGTGAAGGCAAGGTAAAGTGGGCTTACGACTAACTTTAGCGATATGCGCGGACCATGATGAATGGTGGTCAATTCATCATCATCATTACAGCCTTTCATAAGTCCACTGCTGAACATAGGCCTCCCCCAAGGAATGCCACAAAACACGGTCCTGAGCCACCTGCATCCATCGACTTCCTGCATGCCTTACCAGGTCGTCACTCCATCTCGTGGGGGGTCGCCCTACACTTCGCCTTCCGGTACGAGGCTGCCATTCGAGAACCTTTCTTCCCCATCGGTTGTCGGTTCTTCGAGCTATATGGCCGGCCCACTGCCACTTCAGTTTACTAATCCGTTGGGCTATGTCGGTTACTCTAGTTCTATTGCGGATATCCTCATTTCTAAGTTTATCACGCAGAGAAACTCCGAGCATAGCCCTCTCCATAGCTCGCTGAGCGACCTTGAGCTTCCTCATCCGGCTAGCAGTGAAGGACCACGTCTCAGTTCCATAAGTCATCACTGGCAACACGCACTGGTTGTACAATTTCGTTTTAAGGTTTTGAGGTATGTCTGACGAGAATATGTGTCGTAGCTTACCGAACGCCCAACCGAGTTGAATCCGTCGATTGACCTCTCGGTCGAAGTTTGACTTACCTAGTCGGACTATTTGTCCCAGGTAAACATACTCGTCAACAACTTCGAGCTTAGTGCTCCCAACAACTACCGGCATAGGTGTGACATGGACATTAAACATAATCTTTGTTTTGTCCATGTTCATCTTAAGACCTATCCGTTGGGAGACACTATTGAGGTCATTGAGCATAGTGCTTAGGTCCTCCAGCGATTCTGCCATAAGGACTATATCGTCGGCAAATCGAAGGTGAGTGATGTACTCGCCATTGATGTTGATACCGTATCCTTTCCAGTCCAGAAGCTTGAAAACGTCTTCCAATGCAGCGGTGAAGAGTTTCGGGGATATGACGTCACCCTGTCTTATACCTCTCTGTAATTGGATAGGTTTCGTACTCTGGTTCTGTACTCGGATAGCCATCGTAGCTCTACTGTACAAACACTTCAACACTTCGATATACCGACAGTCAACTTGGCACCGCTGAAGGGACTGCAGCACCGCCCAAATTTCCGACGGAATCAAAGGCTTTCTCATAGTCCACATACGCCAGACATAGTGGCAAATTGTACTCTTCGGACTTCTGTACAATTTGCCGAAGGGTATGTATGTGGTCTATGGTGCTAAAGCCCTTTCGGAAACCGGCTGGTTCGGGAGGCTGGACGTCGTCAAGTCTGTGTCAATTGTAAAACCTAAAATTTTACAGTATCGCTAAAATCTACATGAATACCGTTAATATGTTCGTGAGATATTAATGAATCGATTTTTTGTAATGTTTAATGTAGCACTATGATGGTTTGTAATTTTTTTTATAGAATGAGGGTGACAAACGAGCACATAATCCACCTTACAGTAAATGGATGCTGTAGCCAATAGATAGTACATCTATCTTCGATTAAAAAATTACAATGGAGATGCGTTGTCACCCCATAAGAACAAGATAGTATGCATCGTTTCCAGTGAAAAGGGTTGCCGGTTCACTGCACTCATCATACGAAACACATCAGCATTAATCTACTATTTTGATACGATATTAAGATAATATATAACTATATAATTAAGATATTCTTTGCTTGAAATAATAAATTATGGGGTATTTATAAAGTTTTCTCATCTGGTTGGGCTGTATAAATATATAGTTGTAAATGAAAATGATAAACATACATAAATATCAATAAAATAAAATAAATACATAAATAAATTAAAACCCAACCGGATGAAAGACCTCGGCAGAGAGAGATCAATCGGCCGAGGGTTAGAGGGGAAAGGAAAAAACCGGCGGACGATGTGGGTGGTATCGAGGAGCACCGCCTTCTGCATTTGAGTTTGGAACGGTCCGTCATAGAGTACCAGTCGCCTCAGATGACTCGAGAGGTTGACTGAGATTAACCCGTTCGCAGAAACGATTACAGGTATAATTTCGGTCGGCAACCCACCCGACATGTCGGTCACCTCGTGAGCCAGGTCCAGATATTTTGTTCGCTTACGTGTTTCGGCTTTCACGAGGTTCTCGTCATACGGAATGGTAATGTCGACCAAAAATATCCTTGACTGTGCCCGGTCCATCAGCACAATATCGATCTTATTCGCAAGAATAGTCCTGTCTGTGATGTTGGCCCGGTCCCAGTAGAGCCGGGCGCGGTCATTTTTGAGCAAGTACTTATAATGAGGCAGTTTCCGATCCACGAGACCGTATTTCAAAGCGAGTTTCTGGTGTAGAATCATGGCTACTAGATTGTGTCTGCGTAAGTCCTCAGAGTTAGAAAGAGCCAAACAACCGGAGATGACATGCCTAAGTGACTCATTGGGATGGCAACAAGCTCTGCAGACGTCGACGGCGCCATCCTTTAGGATGTCCGATAGTTGTTGATCTTAATAACCTAATCCTGTATCGCACAGACAAAACCCTCGGTTTCCCCAAATAACAATAATAATAACGTGGCTAACGTGGCTCTAGAAACCCATAAAAATGGAAACTCGTTCTAATAGTAAACGTATAGGGCCGCTGCCCGGGGGCGCATCTGGGGCTGACGCTGGGTGTCTCAGCATGCGAACCGTTAGCGGTGAGGAGTTGAACAGGCGGGCTCCCACCGACAAAGATGCTACAGCCGAAATCATTGATGATGGTGACAGACTGATGGACAGGACATACACCCCTGTAGAACCGTAGTTCAAGCACAGTATCATACACACCCTCAAGACAGGTGGTCTTCACGATGGTATGGATATACCATCGTCACCAACACTTTCATCACCCCCCATCATTAGTTTAAATACAGTTCCACCCACTTCGACCTTGAACGCTGCGTGGGGGGTATCTACCTCTTATACGCGTTCACCAAGGCTGGAAAAGCAAGAGTTCACATGAAATGGAGCAAAGAAGTAAATATATTTATTATACGAACTTATCTATATGTCACTAAATTAAAGGCCGTTATGACAACTTATAGACAATAATTACAGGCATTTTTCACTCGACAATATTCAGAAATTACCGTTTCAGAACAAAGAATCTCAGGCTAAAGAAGAACCATAGTTAGGAATAAACTTAAACTAAAATCTTATAACTTAACTAAATCTCAAGAAGAAATACATCAATTAAAATAAGAAGTACGAATATAATTACTGGAAGAAGAAGTGATTCTTATCACTTCAAATAAGATGTGTGAGGTGGTATGTGCGGTGCGCAGTTGGACGCGTGGGCGCTGCGCGCGGTGCTGCGCGGCGGCGGGGCGTGGGGCGGCGCGTGGGGCGGCGCGTGCGGCGGCGCGTCGCTGGAGCTGTGCCGCGCGCTTGTGGCGCTGCGCGACGGCGCGCTGGCGGGCCGGCTGGCGGCGCGCGAGCTGGCGCCGCTGCTGGCGCTGCTGGCGCTGTGGCGCGCGGCCGTGCGGCGCCACGCGCGCCGCAGCCGCGTGTCGGCGTACCGGCTGCGCGCGCTGCTGTGGGCGGCCGGCGTGGGCGCCAGCAACAAGGTGCTGGAGTGCCTCGTGCTGCGCTTCGCCTCGCGCACCTCGCTCTCCGCCGACGCCTGCCTGCTGGCGCTGGCGAGGCTGCACCTCGCGCACGGTACACACACGCCACTCCACTACCGCTATCAAATATGTGTGAGCCTAACACGCCACATAATGCTCAAAACTCTTTAACTTTTAATATAGAAAGTTAGACTTTGTTACCCTTGAGAACTTAAGGAGAATCCAAACACAATACAGTCTCAAACAACTAAATCAAACGGTGAATCTAACACCCCTCTTCATGCCGAAACTCTTCGATCTTGATTGAAGACCTGATCTTCGAACTTCTTATATATATCAACAGAGGTAGAGCCACGCGGCAAAATTGCTGTCGCACGGATGGGCCGGCTCGAACCGGGGTGGTACCACGACCTCACAGAATACCAGCGTGAAGTAGAGGTTTACCTCTGCGTTTCGCTTGGTGAGTGCAGGTGGCCGGAGGCCCTTTTACTGGAAATGAGGCATTCCATCTTAGTCCTCACGGGTGACAACGCATCTGCATTTTGATTCGCAAACGAGGATAGATGTAGATGTCTATGGGCCGCAGCAACCACTTACCATCAGGTGAACTGTGTGCTCGTTTGTCACCCTTATCCTATGAAAAAATATATAGAAAGTTATCCTTTATTACCCATGAGGACTTGGATAAAACCCAACCCACAGTCTGCAATTATACCCTTACCATTTAATCCAGAATAAAACAGTGTATTAACGATTGCTTTGTGGCAGAAAAAGGGTGATAGTAGCCCAGATAGAAAGAGCAAAGAGAAATTTTATAGAATATAGGTGACAAACAAAGCACACAGTCCACCTGATAGTAAGTGGATGCTGTGTCCACAGACATCTACATCTGTACTCCATTTCACCACTCAGATAATATAAATAATCTTGCTGAAGACTATTGGACTATAGTCCATAGCGACAATATAGTAAGGGCTATTGTTAATTAACGATAACAAAATATCAAACCATTAGCAAATCTGTTTCATTTTCAAGACACTATTCATGTTTCCCGCTTATCACCGAGAAGTCTGTACTTACTATCGTTTTGTTCCTTTATATGGCACATAATATATCAAATATTATACATACTATAATCGATCATATATTTAGATAAAATATTATTCAATTTTCCAGAACGATACCGCACTTTGGATGCAAAATTGAAATCGAACCCCCTCTCACTGGAAGAGGTAAGTACTGAATCTAGAATTAAATTTAATTAAAAGAATTAAAATTAAAGAAGGTGAATTAAAATTTATCTCTATTCTCTTGCTTTCCTATGATATATGTCGAAAGTTCTCTTATTATTCGCTTTCGAATTATATTTTTTCAAACAAAACCAGTTTTGTTAATCTCCTCCTTCATTTAGTGACATTAAGCCATAAGCTATACTTGTAGCTACAAAATATCCACACATAATAATTATTACCACTGTTAACCATACGTGGTACTTTACTCCTACTCTAAATAATTTAATAAATATTTTAGAGTAACAAAAAAATTAACATAATTAATACATAATCCGATGTAAGAGAAACAAATAAATAAATAAATTGGTAAATCCAATTTGACAAACCTTAAGCGCATTAAGAAAATTCCGTATAACATGGTTATACGGAATTTTTGAAAGTAGTTTAAATACATTTCGACAGCACTATCGGCGTCAACACCCTCGAAAACCATGAAAATGACACCCATGATAAAAAAATTGATACCTATTGCAGCCGCCATCTTGCATTTACATTTCGACAGCACTATTGGCTTCAACACCCTCGAAAACCATAAAAATGACACCCATGATGAAAAAATTGATACCTATTGCAGCCGCCATCTTGCATTTATATTTCGACAGCACTATCGGCTTCAACACCCTCGAAAACCATGAAAATTACACCCATGACGAAAAAATTGATACCTACTTCAGCCGCCATCTTGGATTTACATTTCGGCAGCACTATCGGCTTCAACATCCTCGAAACCCATGAAAATGACACCCATGATGAAAAAATTGATACCCATTGCAGCCGCCACCTTGGATTTACATTTTGACAGCACTATCGGCTTCAACATCCGCGAAAACCATGAGAATGACACCCATGATGAAAAAATTGATACCTATTGCAGCCGCCATCTTGGATTTACTTGGATTTATTTCACTTGGTGTCATTTTCATGGTTTTCGAGTGAGTTGAAGCCGATAGAGTTGTCGAAATGTAAATCCAAGATGGCGGCTGAAGTAGGTACCAATTTTTTCATCATGGGTGTCATTTTCATGGTTTTCGAGGGTGTTGAAACCGATAGTGCTGTCGAAATGTAAATCCAACATGGCGACTGCAATAGATATCAATATTTTCATCTTGGGTGTCATTTCCATGGTTTTCGAGGGTGTTGAAGCCGATAGTGCTGTCGAAATGTAAATCCAAGATGGCGGCTGCAATAGGTATAAATTTTTTCATCATGGGTGTCATTTTCATGGTTTTCGAGTGAGTTTAAGCCGATAGAGTTGTCGAAATGTAAATCCAAGGTGGCGGCTGAAGTAGGTACCAATTTTTTCATCATGGGTGTCATTTTCATGGTTTTCGAGGGTGTTGAAGCCGATAGTGCTGTCGAAATGTAAATCCAAGATGGCGGCTGCAATAGGTATCAATTTTATCATCATGGGTGTCATTCTCATGGTTTTCGCTGGTGTTGAAGCCGATAGTGCTGTCGAAATGTAAATCTAAGGTGGCGGCTGCAATTGGCATCAATTTTTTCATCATGGGTGTCATTTTCATGGTTTTTGAGGGTGCTGAAGCCGATAGTGCTGTCGAAATGTAAATTCAAGATGGCGGCTGAATTCGGTACCAATTTTTTCTTCAGGGGTGTCATTTTCATGGTTTTCGAGGGTATTAAAGCCGATAGTGCTGTCGAAATGTAAATCCAAGATGGCGGCTGAATTAGGTACCAATTTTTTCTTCAGGGGTGTCATTTTCATGGTTTTCGTGGGTATTGAAGCCGATAGTGCTGTCGAAATGTAAATCCAAGATGGCAACTGCACTAGATATCAATATTTTCATCTTGGGTGTCATTTTCATGGTTTTCGAGGGTTTTGAAACCGATAGTGCTGTCCAAATGTAAATCCAACATGGCAACTGCAATAGATATCAATATTTTCATCTTGGGTGTCATTTTCATGGTTTTCGAGGGTTTTGAAACCGATAGTGCTGTCGAAATGTAAATCCAACATGGCGACTGCAATAGATATCAATTTCTTCATCATGGGTGTCATTTCCATGGTTTTCGAGGGTGTTGAAGCCGATAGTGCTGTCGAAATGTAAATCCAAGATGGCAGCTGCAATTGGTATCAATTTATTCATCATGGGTGTCAATTTCATTGTTTTCGAGAGAGTTGAAGCCGATACGGTAGTCGAAATGTAAATCCAAGATGACGGCTGAAGTAGGTACCATTTTTTTTCATCATGGGTATCATTTTAATGGTTTTCGAGAGAGTTGAAGCCGATAGAGTTGTCGAAATGTAAATTTAAGATGGCGGCTGCAGTAGATATCAATTTCTTCATCATGGGTGTTATTTCCATAGTTTTCGAGGGTGTTGAAGCCGATAGTGCTGTCGAAATGTAAATCCAAGATGGCGGCTGCAATAGGTATCAATTTTTTCATCATGGGTGTCATTCTCATGGTTTTCGCTGGTGTTGAAGCCGATAGTGCTGTCGAAATGTAAATCTAAGGTGGCGGCTGCAATTGGCATCAATTTTTTCATCATGGGTGTCATTTTCATAGTTTTTGAGGGTGCTGAAGCCGATAGTGCTGTCGAAATGTAAATCCAAGATGGCGGCTGAATTCGGTACCAATTTTCTCTTCAGGGGTGTCATTTTCATGGTTTTCGAGGGTATTGAAGCCGATAGTGCTGTCGAAATGTAAATCCAAGATGGCGGCTGAATTAGGTACCAATTTTTTCTTCAGGGGTGTCATTTTCATGGTTTTCGAGGGTATTGAAGCCGATAGCGCTGTCGAAATGTAAATCCAAGATGGCAACTGCAATAGATATCAATATTTTCATCTTGGGTGTCACTTTCATGGTTTTCGAGGGTTTTGAAACCGATAGTGCTGTCGAAATGTAAATCCAACATGGCGACTGCAATAGATATCAATTTCTTCATCATGGGTGTCATTTCCATGGTTTTCGAGGGTGTTGAAGCCGATAGTGCTGTCGAAATGTAAATCCAAGATGGCGGCTGCAATAGGTATCAATTTTTTCATCATGGGTGTCATTTTCATGGTTTTCGAGGGTGTTGAAGCCGAGAGTGCTGTGGAAATGTAAATCTAAGGTGGCGGCTTCAATTGGTATCAATTTATTCATCATGGGTGTTATTTTCATGGTTTTCGAGTGAGTTGAAGCCGATAGAGTTGTCGAAATGTAAATCCAAGGTGGCGGCTGAAGTAGGTACCAATTTTTTCATCATGGGTGTCATTTTCATGGTTTTCGAGGGTGTTGAAACCGATATTGCTGTCGAAATGTAAATCCAAGATGGCGGCTGCAATAGGTATCAATTTTTTCATCATGGGTGTCATTCTCATGGTTTTCGAGAGTGTTGAAGCCGATAATGCTGTCGAAATGTAAATCCAAGATGGCGGCTGCAATAGGTATCAATTTTTTCATCATGGGTGTCATTCTCATGGTTTCCGCTGGTGTTGAAGCCGATAGTGCTGTCGAAATGTAAATCTAAGGTGGCGGCTGCAATTGGTATCAATTTATTCATCATGGGTGTCAATTTCATTGTTTTCGAGAGAGTTGAAGCCGATAGGGTAGTCGAAATGTAAATCCAAGATGGCGGCTGAAGTAGGTACCATTTTTTTTCATCGTGGGTATCATTTTAATGGTTTTCGAGAGAGTTGAAGCCGATAGGGTTGTCGAAATGTAAATTTAAGATGGCGGCTGCAGTAGATATCAATTTTTTCATCATGGGTGTCATTCTTATGATTTTCGTGGGTGTTGAAGCCGATAGTGCTGTCGAAATGTAAATGCAAGATGGCGGCTGCAATAGGTATCAATTTTTTCATCATGGGTGTCATTTTCATGGTTTTAGAGGGTGTTGAAGCCGATAGTGCAGTCGAAATGTAAATCCAAGATGACGGCTGAAGTAGGTACCAATTTTTTCATCATGGGTGTCATTTTCATGGTTTTCGAGGGTGTTGAAGCCGATAGTGCTGTCGAAATGTATTTAAATAACTTGCTATACGTAATTTTTTTAATGCGAAGGCATGCGCAATTGGATTTACCAATATTTGTAACTTTTATGTGGTTTTGTTGCCTCTACATTGTCCGGGGAGTATGAGGATTGTCAAAGACTCCGCTTTACCGATGCTCGTGTTAGTTAGAGGTAATAAAACCACATACAATTGGCAATTTTTTTTAAATTCAAATTAAATTTTTTATGGTCGAATTTTCTAAAAAATAGTTATTGCTAAACGTTTCAATACTGATCGTGACCACGCACTTAACGGGAACCACAGGGGTGTTATTACATGTTGTACATAAAACATAAAAAAAACATAAACACGCCTGTCACCCAGAGGGGTAGGCAGAGACTACGGACTTCCATTTGGCACGATCCTGATACACCTCTCTCGCTTCCTCCACATCCATATACCTACGCATACACGCTCGTCGGTTAAAGGTAACTCTTGATTTGGCCCATTTTCAATATATCGCCAATTTGTTCGATAAACTTTCGCCTAGGGCGTCCCTTCCCAACTCTGCCGTTCACCACTGCAAATTTGCTTTGTCATTCTTTCCTCATTCATTCTTTCTACATGACCAAACCACCGAAGCATTCCTTTCTTAATCCTGGTCACAACATCATCTCACAAACTACACTCTTCTCCTATCACACAATTTCTCACTCTGTCATTCAGATTCATCCCTAACATACTCCTTAATGACCGCATTTCTACCGCATTGTATGTTGTTCATATATTATTGCCACTGTTATATATAATATATTATGCTTACAAGTATACACAATATATTATATTAATTGTGCTAATAGAAGAGCTAAATGCTCTCCAGATCCAGTAAACCGATTAGTGACAGAACATCCAATTAAATACGCCAAGATATTTCCTTCTTTCTTATATAAAATTGAAGTGACAAACCCCCTGATGGTAACGACCACTGCAGCCCATAGATACCTGCAACCAACTTCAAATAAATGAGGCAACGGATTGCTGTCACCTCTGAGCACCATGATGGTATGGCCTGTTATTGTAACTTTTAAAGAAATAAAGTTTTTTAAAGAAATAAAAATGAAGACGATAATGGCTCTCTTTACCTTTCCAACCGGGGCCCGCATATATCTAAATTAGCAAGCAGACTTGTTCTGCAGCATATGCTGTAAGAAAGATTAGAAGTCTCACAGATGTTGAGACAGCTAGATTAGTGTATTTTAGTTACTTTCATAGCGTAATGTCTTACGGAATTTTGCTATGGGGTAATGCGACTGATATTGAAGCTATATTTGTTTTACAAAAGAGAGCCGTACGGGCGATTTATAACCGAAATTGTAAAGAGTCCCTCAGCGAAAAATTTAAAGAAACAAACATATTAACTTTGACATCGCAATATATTTATGAAAATGTAATGTATGTACATAAAAACATAAATAGCTTTAATAAGGATGTTCATACCTTAAACAAACATAAGCTTGTAATGCCAGGTACTAGACTCCACAGAATCAGTAATTAATTTATGGGGCAATGTATACGCTTTTACAACAAAATCCCAGAACATGTTCAAAGCTTGTCAATAAACAAGTTTAAAAGTTTTATTAAAGAAAAACTGTACAAAAGGGGTTATTATAATATCAAGGAATACATGAATGAAAATAACCCCTGGGAATAAGGTGATCGCCACCATGCTGGTTCTATGAAAATTATTTTAAAAATTGTATAAACAAAATTATTATTAAGTGAAATGTTTAAAAAAAATATGTATATAAAAAGTCCCGCTGGGTTTCTTGCTGGTTCTTCCCAGGACAGTGGTATTTTCCGAACCAGTGGTAAATAAAAAATTACTTTCAATAAGTATTATGTAATAATCAATATTGAATAAAAAATTATTCTATTCTAACTGGAACACAGTGGTATAAGCACTGCTGTTTGTAACCACGTTTGTAGTAGGTACCTTCTGATAAACTATTAGTGAAAAAAATTCTGAATATTAACGAAAAGCTAGTAAAAATTCATAAGTGTCCGTGACAACACGGAGCTTAACCTAAACGCTACTTATCGCTTAGGTAATAAAAGCAGATTCAAGCCCAGGACTTAAGGTATTTAGTTATACATGGATAATATAAAATATAGTTTAAAATTAAAAATTTTGTACAGCCGACTTCAATATAAATTATTAAGAATAACTCAAAAACTATTGATCAGACCTTGATTTATATGGGACCACATGAGAATCACCAGCTTTCAGATAAAGAAGAATCATCGAAATCGGTTCACCCCGAAAAAAGTTATGAGGTAACACACATAAAATACAAAATGTCTTTTTGTTTCAGGTTATTCTAATGACGATCTACTCATGACGGCCGAGCAGTGTCATAGTACTTAAATTGTTGTTGCTATTGTTATTGTTGAACGCGTGTTTGTTATCTGTTAATATTTAATAATTTATCACGTATCAGATTCATTTTATTTACTCTGAAGAACGTGGCAGGGCCCCGTATTTATTTATGTTGTGTAGTGAAATGACCAAAGATGTATGGCCTTAACATCGAGTAAGGATGGCAGACAGTCAAGGCCTGGCTGGTCTGACCAATTATAGCAAGTTGTGTCTCGCCAGCAACGCAAAGTCGGCAATTTGCATTTGGGAAATTCCAAAATTAGGGGCTTTTAGGTGTTAATTAGGTGCTAAGTTTAAAAATTAGGTGCTCTAAAATTTTCACCGCAACGAACTGTTGAAATTTGCGTTGCTAGCAAAACGTCACGCTAGCAACGCAAATTCCCGACTTTACGTTGCTGGCGATACACAACTATTATAGCAATTTAAGGACTTGTTTAGCGAAAAAAATATAAAATATTTATGAAATGTAACCTTTAGATATTCCTAAATATAACGTTATGAAATCTTATTACCAGTGTTTTGTTCCATATTGATGCCAGTGTGAGTGTGACCAGTTACAGAGTGTAAATAATTAATTGCATGTTGTTAGTAAATAATTTTACATTTTATTGATAAAGATAAAAATTTTGGATAAATATTTACAATGAGTGTGTTCTCTCTGAATGTCTGCTTTTCAACTTATTCCTTGGGATGACAACGCATCTGCATTCTATTCGTTATCGAGGATAGAAGTAGGTATGAGCCACAGTATTCACTTTGTAAACTTACCATCCATAAAAAGTAATAATAGACATCAAATTAGTTTAAATATATATAATTAAAATATTAATGTGGTTTGAAGTTAAAAAAATTAAAATATTAAAGTGTAAGTCTATAATTACCACTAATTATAAAATAGTTTTTTTTTGTCTTAAAAATTTACACAATCTAGAAAACACGTCAAGAAAAGTTCACCTGTTATATTTATTGGAACTTACGTAATAGATACCAGAGTAAACAGTTTTCCAAGTGAGGTTTGTGTACCAAGTAAATGGAGAAAAGTTACTTTTATTTAAACCTTGGTGTGCGTAACTTAAAGATATGACGAAGCCGTTTGTATAGTTGTGGATATTTCGCTTTAGATTGGTCCCTCATTCCTACTATTACATTAGGATTTAGGATAGTACCAAAGTATCGGTAAATGTCTCTTAAATGTTCGTTTTCTCCTGGTAATCACTCTCCGCCTTTGTCGAAACTAAAACGTCCTCTGTCGATTCCGTTTCTATTTTGCTTACCTAGAGACTATATTTTTATATAAAGAACGACAAAGCTGTCACCGATTAGCTTTCTTTTTTAATTCGTGCAACACGTACAATCAGCAAAATATGAGGAACGGTGCTATTGTGCTGCTAAATATATTTTAAGTTTAAACACTACAAGACAAGACTTACAAACTTGAGAACTGATCAAAGAAGAGAGAGAGAGAGAGAGAGATAAGAGACTGGGACAGACAAGGAAACCTCGCTAGTGGATTTATTACATAGTGGGCCAGAAATATTGTAGGCCAGCAAATTTTAAAAATATGTTCAATTTAAAATCATTTGATCTTACTTAAAGATATCAAGTATATTTTCTAAAGCCAGTAAAGCTGAATCCCTCCAGAATAATGCATGTATAAGGATGGACGGTGGCTCTATTTATAAGGAGCTGTTTTCTCAGCGATAACCTTAAGATATATGAATTAAAGATATGATATTGTGATCGAAACCACCAACTGTGTTTTATAGCCTTATAGTATAAGTATGTATTGTAAAATAATATAAATTAAATCAATAAAGGCAATTCTTGATTAAGTATGTGGATGTGTTTAATTTCTTACGATCTAGAGAAAGCTCGAAGAAAGAAATTTGACATTTTGACTTTTTATTACAAGTAAAACCGTTGCACTATGTGTAAAAGTAAAAGTGAAAGGAGTGTAAGCAAGTAAAAGGAGTCCTAACGTAAATTCCAATAGGTATATATAAAACAATGTTGACTTGTTTATTTAAACGCAATTCGACTGGTTCATGGCGCAGTGACTTAGCAGTACAAAGTTTCAAACGGGTTCAAACCACGAACGGAATAAGTGTTTGTATATCCTACAAGCGATTGTTTCAGGTGAATGTTTGTTCTTGCAGAATTTATGTATTCTGCCTCCACGATACGGGTGAAAATCTATACGTTTATAACGCTTTTACAACAAAAAGAATGTTGTTTTTAGTTATCAAAAAGAGATTGATATAGTAACTTAAGTACTTGCTTGCCGCTACTCAGTTGACTGTCTAAACTAAAATCTAGGAATCATGCTGACAAGATTTAGTAAAAGATATGAAAAATGTTTGCATGCAGGTTTGCAGGATTCGAATTTGCCTGTCGAGTTTAGAAAATCCCCCATGAGGCATTCTATAGGGGTAATAATAATAATAATGTCCTCCAGACCGTATTTCGGTCACGGCGGATAGTCTCAACGTGACTAGCCATGTGTTTCTCTCTATTTCCTCACTCTCATAGACCGATGTGACGGCAATCTGACGTGACCGGAGAGAGATCAGGCTCAAGACCAAGGGCAAACAAAGGTTATAACAGTTCTGAGATTGTCCCAGTAAACATTCAATTCAATCGTAAAGGACAATTTGAATGTTTACTTAAAGGCTTGAATGTATGAAATATGAAATGTTTATAAAGGTTTTATATTTGACGTCCACGGCAGGCCTGTTCGGCTTCTCACTATTTGAGTGTCAATGAGTGGACAACACGCCGTCTGTATACGGACAGTGCCATGGTTGGAGGACAAGTTATGTGAATTATGAGTGCTGACCTCCACGTATATCATCATCATTACAGTATATCAAAGTACTATACTGATCATTAGCCTAACCTATAGATTGCATCATAGGGGAGATATTTACCATAATTTCGCACAGTGTTTATTGTCTAAATGTTATTAATAAGATTCTGCTATATTGCTTGGTTTGATTTGTTTCCCTTTGTCGCTCTTAAGTCGTAGAGGCAAGCAGCAGCTATGCTAGGCTAGGTACTTATATAAAGCTGCAGCACGACTAGGCGGCTCGACCACGGATTTAAAAAATACCAGCGTGAAACTGCAGAATAATGCTCCTGAGATTCCTATGGTGAGTGTAGAGAAACGGTGGCCCTTTTTATTGGCTGCATTTTGATTCTTAATTGTGAATAGATGTAGGTGTAATTATATGGGCCACCGCTACCACTTACCGTTAGTGCTAGCTTAACACTATTTATGAGTATAAAATCTGTTTAAACTTTCAATGTTTAACTTATGGTCACAGAAAAGGGTTAGAAGTTTCAGATATATTAATATTCTTACAACATTTTGGTCGCCCTAAAGTAGGCAGTAGTTCGTTCATGGTCCTCTTTCGATCGGCATCATTAGCGCGCGAAGTGCTGTTCAGAGCCCCAGATATTCGCACTGTTATGTTGTATACACTCGTAGGTACTATAGAATCAGCATGTCATATAATTTTGTTTGTGGTATTCCTTAGGGGAAGGCCTTTGTTCGGCAGTAGACTTGTGAAGGACTGTAATGATGATGATGTCGATGATTTCATGTAACGCCCCAGCCTGACATCAGATTCACCTACAAGAACCCACTTGCTTTGATGTAGTTGCTTATTAGAACCTATATTGTTCTTAAACAGCGATCGAGAAATAATCCCACCCGCTACCACTAATGCTGTCCACTGCCATTTCGGGCTGCGAAGACGGCCTTCCTCTTTCTGACCGAGACACAGGTGTCGTCTCCGGCTAATACTTATTATCTCTCCTACCCGGGGTACTACTTGGAGCAGTCCTTTGTGCCTCGGGCTGGAGTTTACGTATACATCAGAGAGGACATCTGTTTGCGACGCCTCGGTAGTCTTAAAGGTTCGGACCTGTCCATCCTTTGGCTACGAGTAAACAGCGACGTCCATCCGCATGCCTATGGATGCGTCTGTAGATCCAATAGCGGTAATACCGAAACAGACCGACTCATCGACCACGTCCAAATAGCTACATATTCCTTGCTACAGCAGGTCCCATCCGCAGAGATCGTGATCCTTGGCGATTTTAACGTCCACCACGTCGAATGGCTCGGTTCACGTTTAACCGATCATGCGGAGAGATCTGTTTATGACTTTGCCTTGGCATATGGTCTGAAACAACTGGTTACTTCACCTACGCGGATTCCAGATGTGGAGGATCATACACCTTCCCTGTTGGACCTTCTGCTGACCTCTCATCCGGACGGATATCAGGTTTCCGTCAATGCCCCTCTCGGCTCTTCGAACCATTGTCTGATCCGGAGTGTGGTGCTACCCACGCTTCTCTCGCGGTTGCGTTCTGCAGGTTGCCACCGTGTTTGGCATTCGGTCGGCGAATTGGGACGGAATGCGGTATTTCATTGCATCCTATCCATGGGGGCGGGTTTGCTTCTCGCCGGATGATCCCACCGCTGTTGCTGACTCTGTCACTGATGTGGCGCTACAATAAATGGAACTATTTATTCCATCATCTGTGGTACCCATCGGAGGCAGATCTCAGTCTTGGTTTGGTCGCTCCTGCAAGATTGCATTACGCAGTAAGCAGGAATGTTATCAGGCATGGGCTGAGGCTTCGGAAAACACCAGCATGCTTAAAAAGAAGTATAACTTCGCCTCCAGGTCCTTCAAAAGTGTCATTGCCAAGGCAAGGTCTGAGCACATCGGCAGAATTGGCAAGAAACTATAGTTCGCCTTCCTTCGGGAATCCGTGCATTCTGGTCTCTCGCCAAGGCTGTCCACGGGAATTTCTGTAAGCCATCACTACCATCTCTGCACAGGGAGGACGACTCACTGACTCACGCCGCAAAAGCGAAAGCCGACCTTTTAGGCTCCCTGTTTGAGTCCAACTCGACTCTTGATGAGAACACACCGCCGACCATCCCGCAGT